CTTATCCCTATCTTCTTTGAGTTGTGTGTTCTTTCAGTATGTTGAAACCTTGGATCATGTTTATGGTGGCTCTTTAAATTCTGTGTCCCGGATTCCTCTAGATTCCCCTCATTGTACAACACTTCTGTAGTACTGGCAGTGTTTGATGGGGACATAGTGTTTTGGTTTTTCATAGTATTTGCATTTTTTGGTTGTGATGTGGGCATGTGGATTTCTTTTGTTGCTTGTGTTTCTGGTATTTAACTCCAGCTTGTGTTTGTTGAGTTGACATTTCATTCTGTTTATACTGTTTATGTAGCTTGATTACTTTCTCATCTACTGTGAAAAGTTAGTTTGTCTGGGCTTCAGATTTTCTCTTTTCATTTTGTATTTGAGGAACTGGATGGATCCAGGCAGGTTAGTAGGAGGCAGGTTACTAAGAGGGCAAAGTAACCCCTGCTGGTCAGGCACTCTCAGACAGACTCAGTGGGATGAGGCTGAGGCCAAGGAGAGCTGATGGGAACAGAATGAGATGGCTCTTACTAGCTAGCGAGGAGACCTGTGCTCTGGAACAGCGAGACTGGAGATAGTCCCAGGGGGGGAATTGGCATAGCAGGATTTGGACAGCTCATCCTGATGAGTCAGGTGCTCTCTGGCAGCCTCAGCAGTATGGGGTCAGTTACTTTTTTTCCTTACTGCATATGTATTATGTGAAAATTAGCAGTAGTAGGTAAAATCTCTTATTTGATTACATATGAGAGAAAATCCCTCTTATTCTATTATGTATCTCCAGTATATGTTTTCTAACCAATACTCAAGTTTTAATTACTGAATTGTTCTCATAATGTGAAATTAAAAAATTTAGCATCTTTAGTTTTATTTCTCCTTTGACAATTTTTGTGCCTTCTGTCTTGTGATTTTCTGTTGTTATAGTATTTATATATTTTTTCCAAAGATGACAGTAGGAGTTTGATGAGAGTCACTTGGAGTTTTTCATAGCATGAAATCATCTGGTTTGAGTTTACATGGGTCTTGTGCATGATTTCACCATTGATGTAACTTCATATGAACGAATTCCCAGAAGCCTGG